AGTTCCGGCTGGCTCCTGAGTTGGCCACGCCCAGCAGGAACTCATTAGCATAATAGGCCACACCCAACAGCAGAAACTCATTAGGACTGGCTACATTAGGGGTGTGTGGCCTAACATGCAAAGGAGTTCCTGCTACAAGAAAAGGCCCCGGGTTTTAACAACAAACAAGGTAAACAGAATAAGAAGCAAAAGGTGGGTGTGGCTGGATGACCACACTTCTGGGAACATGGGGGGGGGGGCCTCATATGCTAATGAGCTGTGCTGTTGGGTGTGGCCAATTATGCTAATGAGTTCCTGCTGGGCTTTTTCTACAAAAAAAGCCCTGGTAATGGCAAACCACCTCTGTTCATCTGTCGCCTTGAAAACCCTACTGGGAGAACTTCATGGGGCTGCCGTGAGTTAGTTGCGACTCGATGGCACACTTTACTATCTTAGAAAACTTCATTAATGCATCCATTTCTTAAAAGAAAACACAGCCCAAACATCAATAAAAAATTCTGAAAATGCGTAACTGGTAAGCACTTAAAAGTTCGTTCTTATCAATTGTTAAATTGCACCAAAAGTCATTCATTTCCCCACTGAAATTTGTTCTAACAGAGTATGGAGTGCATTTGATCACCCTCCCTCTATGAAAACCGGCACACCTCAGTATACAAAGGGAAAAAAGTTTGTACTTGATGTTTTTGTGCTGACTCTGAACTCTCCCATCTATTCAGTTACAATTGCAGGAATATGGAGCTCTCATAATTGTACAGAATTACAGAAATAATTTTAAACAGTTTGAGATACTGTTTCTGATCTACTGTATGTGTGCTTTGCACAGTGCATTTTGAGATGCCCTAAACCAGGGGTGGCCAAACTGCGGAGCGGGAGCCGCATGTGGCTCCTGGCAGGGTCGCTGGGGAAGCGAAGAAGAAGCATGCCTCACCGATTGGTCTTCCCTTCCCCAGCCAGTGTTCCCCTCCCTGGGTAGGCTTAAGATGGAGGGGAGAAGAGAAAGAAAGCAAGTTAACTTTAAATGCATTCTCAAAAACCCTGCCAGCTTGGAGAAGACATTTGTCTCTTTAAATCCCCTCTCCAAGCCAAGCCAACTGGTGGGGGGGTGGCTTGGAGGACATATTTAAAATTAAAGTTGCTTTCTTTCCACCTCTCCCTCCCCATTTATTTGCTTTCTTTCCACCTCTCTCTCTGTCTCTCTCTCTTTTCCCCTTCCTCCCTCCTTCCCCCATCTATTTGCTTTCTCTCCACCTTCTTTCTCTTTCTCCCTTTCTTTCATTCTCTCTCTTCCTTCCTTCCTTCCTCTCCCTCTCATCTATTTGCTTTCTTTGTTTGTTTCTCTCTCTTTCTTTCCACCTCTTTCTTTCTACCTTTCTTTCTTTCTTTCTTTCTTTCTTTCTCTTTCTTTCTTTCTTTCTTTCTTTCTTTCTTTCTTTCTTTCTCTCTCTCTTTCCTGTCCATCCCTCCATCTATTTGCTTTCTTTCCATCTCTTTTTCTCTCTTTCATCCTTCCTTCCCCCTCCCTCCTCCATCTATTTGCTTTCTCTGTTTCTCTCCCTCACTCTTACTTTCCACCTCTTTCATGCTTTCTTTCCACCTCTCTCTCTTTTAGACAAATAAATATCATTATCAGTATCTGTTTTTACCCCTTTTGTTTTTATTTTTGGCAGTCTCATTTAATGTTAATAAAAAGCAAATCTGCATATTTTCAATAAAAACACGTGTGCAATATTTGTTCATGTCTTGCGGCTCTCAAACATCTGATGTTTATTCTATGTGGTTCTCACGTTAAGAATTACGTTATCTGAAAAAGTGTGCATGTACACAAAAGCTCATACCTTGAATAAACCTTTGTTGAAGGTGCCACAGGACTCTAAATTTGTTCTTGCGTTAAACAAGTTTGGCCACCCTTGCCCTAAACTATCTACTGCCCGTTACAGAAGTATCTCTCTCAAATGAAAAGCCTCTTTAGCATTCTGAAAAGCCTAGAATCTTGACTGTGTCACCAGCTGTCAAGACTCAGAAGAATCTGTACATCAGCAGAACGGCTGTTTCTGTGGGTTGAAATCTTTACTATCAAATAACCCCTGATTCTGCTGCAACACCTTCCTCCTTTTCCTCCTGGGGGGAAGAATTTCAAACTTTTCATTAACTGTTAGAGGAGTAGAAGAAATCCCAGTATAACTATCCACAGATCCCCAGTATCTTATGGTAAATCTCGGTGTTGATTTTTAATTGCCTTAGACCACTCTGGGAACCTATATTTCCTGAAAAGTGGGCCATTCATATTTAATAAAACAAGGTTTTTTTGCCTTTTCATTAATATTTTGGTGGATTCTACCTTAAAAAAATCAGTGTAAATACAGAATTATAGAAAGAGAAGGGGGGACCCACAAGGACTTGTGGAAGGGGGAAAATCCCATTCCTTTCTCTGCTGGCTCCCCCATCCTTCAGTCTTGCTCTGCCTAATCTAAGTAAAACAGTCACAAAACTGAAGGCCCCAGCAGAACAGAGGAGACTAGTTTTGCAGCTGTGCATCACTTTTAGAGTTGCACAGCAAGGGAGTATAGTGGAATGAAAGGGAACAAGCCCCCCCCCCATCACAAAATGAGTGTGTGCACCTGTGTGTGTGTTAGGATGAGAGAATTCTGTTACTGATCAATCATCATAAGCAGTACTGGACAACAGCTTTAGCTATGCATAGCCCCTTTTCAAATTCCATTCACAAAAGCAACAAATGCCGAGGCATTAGGAGTGCATTTTCTAAAGTACCAAGTTTAAGTGCTAAAAAGCAAAGGTGTGTTTCATACGGGTGGGTGGATGGGGGAACCTGATGGGAAAAAGTTTTTTAAATTTACAGTAAATTCAGGATGCCTTTTGTTGGGAATACATTAACCATTACCAGTGATGCTCACTCAGTGGCTCGGGAGCCACAGGTGACTCTATGACATGCTCTGTGGCTCTTCTAAGCACTGTTCTAGCATAGTGGATAAGGCCAATGCCCAGTGGAGCTTGTGGCTGGCAGGTGCTTCCCACCTTGAAACAGCTGCTTCAGGAAGGAGTGGAGGATAGATAAGCTGCAAGCCTCCCTCAGTTGCAACCCCCCCGCTAGGGATGGGCCTGTGCTCCACCAGCCCCCTTCTTCTCTGCAGCCTCTGCACTCTCATCCTACTGTCTGGACAGCTGCCCAGAGGACAGCAAGTTGGCTGAAGAGAAACCGTCGCCGCAAGCCACCCAGTGAAAGAGCAGGCTGGCTGCTATGGGGTGGGGTGGTTTCCCTCCCCTTTCTTCACAGCCACTTTGCTCTCCTTTGGGAGTTTTGGTAATCTCACTCTCTTGCCTGAGCTGCTGTAACTCATGCTGAGGAGAGAGTAAGAAGTTAGAGAGAGGGGAACAGGGGGACACAGGATCCCCTCTGCAGGAGCCTGTTCTGCTTGTGAACACACTTCCAGGGCTCTTTTTGTAGATAAAGCGCAGCAGGAACTCATTAGCATAATAGGCCACACCCAACAGCAGAAACTCATTAGCATCCCCATGTTACCAGAAGTGTGCTCATCCAGCCACACCCACCTTTTGCTTCTTATTCTGCTTACCTTGTTTGTTGTCAAAACCCAGGGCTTTTTTTGTAGCAGGAACTCCTTTGCATGTTAGGCCACACACCCCTAATGTAGCCAGTCCTAATGAGTTCCTGCTGTTGGGTGTTGCCTATTATGCTAATGAGCTCCTGCTGGGCGTGGCCAACTTGGGAGCCAGCCGGAACTCCGTTCCTGTATGTTCCTGCCCAAAAATAGCCCTGCTTTTGACATTGCTGATTGGCTCAGAAACAGGTTTCTTTAGCAGAAAGCCTGAGCACCATTTACTTCCCTCAGTGCCTTTATGCACTCTCCCTGGCAGGAGGCAGAGTAGCCTTGGCCATCTCACTCTCGAATGAGCGGGGGGGGGAGGGGCTTTTGCTATGGAAAGAGCAAGGAAGGCTTTGATGCAGTCAGCAGGCTCTTCCCTTCATAATGCCCGTAATGTCCCAGCAAACCGGTAGTACATAACATTCCTTCTCTCTTCTAAAACGCACAAAAAGTGTCCTCCAATGAGTCAAAACCAGTGATCCCCAACGTGGTGCCCACCAGTGTGGTTCCTGGTACCCCCTTCCTTATCCCCCAAATCATCTTTTCCCCAAAGCAAAGAGCCTTGCTCCATCTCACTGGAGCAGGAGACGCTCCGGAACCTTGACTTATGATGACATCATTCATCAATTTGCCACAGCTGAAGGAGGATATATTTTTTTTGCTTGATGCAATGAGGGTAATGAACATTTTATGTTTGAAGATTGGCTTTTTTATTTGAATACGTTGGTCAATATTAGGTAATTTGTTTGATGACTTTATGGTGTGTGTTTTTTTAAAAAAATGTAATACATAGGAGCTTCACTCCTTCCTGTACAGTGCAACTTTGCAGAGTTCACAGGATGCTGAAGTCAATTGGCTGAGAAGGGTGCAATTCTGTTTAGCACTGCGCTGCTAGATCCTGCCGTTTGTTATGGCAAAGTGGAAGATATGTCATTGTTGCTTAGCACACATGTTTTGCATACTTCACTATATTCATAACTATCACCTTTGTTTTAATTCATAGCTGCATTTGTAAATCACTCTGCTGCCAATTTTGTTGGTATTAGAATAGAAATGGAGGGGGGACCTAGACCAGGCACAGATAGTTGGGCTGATAGTTCTGATAGTTAGACAAAACTAGAAAAGCACAGATGCCGGGGGGAGAATTTTGTAAATGCTGAGAATAGACAAGTGCACATGAATTAGTATGATGTAGGGCAGATGGTTCTAATAAGTCAAAGATGTATGTACCATCAATTTATTTTCTGGTTACCAACTTCAGCTGAATATATGTGGGTTGCACTTGGCTGAAGTTATAAATAATAGAACAGAAAAGTACATATTTTGAAACATAACATATTGAAGAGATCCTCAATCATAAATACACATAAGTACACTTACCAGCCCACTTAAAGCAACAATCCAGATATAGGACCCTGAAGTCAAAAGCTAGAAAACAAAAGTGCACAATTTAAAATAGAAATTAGATTACATAACTCTTTATACCCCCATGCAAGAAATATATCTCAGTTGCCACTTCAGATGGTATTTATAAAAACTAATTTTGTTCTATTCTGCTTTTGGAAGTTAGACCTTATTAGATGGCTTTCAGTTGGTCCACTGAGTTACATCTTGATTAAATTTTCTACTGATGGAGGGGGCAGAGATTTTCACCAGTTCCTCCCTCCTGCTGCAGACTTCCAATTTGTCCCTCATATTGTGCTGGGGGGAGGTCCCTGTCCTGGGGAAATTGGTGGGGTACAGTGGGAGGAGGGAAGCAAGAACCGCTCCCAGAAATGCCTTCCATTAAGGCACGCTATCATAAGGATCCAGTCTGCTGTGTTGGCTGCTGCTTGTTTATGTTAATTTTGTGATTTAAATGTGTTTTTCACATTATCATTCATACCACTTTGGGAAGGAATAGCTGAAAAGCAGTTTAGAAATCTGGTAAAGTAAAGTAAATAATAGATATCACTAAAAATTTGGTAGATCTGCAAGAAAAAAAAGCACCTAATCAAACGGATACAAAACAAATAGCAAATCCAAGGTGTGCTCATGCAAAAGATCCTGAATTGACAATAAGATTTACAAAATAAATTACAGGAGTCTGGGGACAGGCACTACACAGACAGGGTTTATCCTAATTTGTTGAGAATAGTTTATTGCTGTGTTGTACAGTGCAATACATTTGATGCAATACATCGTCCAGAAAGCACTTTAAGAAAAGGAGACATCCTCCACTAGTAAGCAGTAATGCTGTAACTTCCTTCATTAGCTAACTATCTACTCAAGGACGGGTGTTTTACATGAACAGGGAAAGATCTGAAGCAGCCGAGGAGTGACTCACAAAGACAATCTATTCAGAAACTAGTTTAACAAAACAAATGCAAAGAGATAAATATAAAAGTCTCCATTCTTTAAAAACAATGGGTAAAAGCTTTTAAAAGAAAGAAGTGCAGGAAAATACATATGAAGCTGCAGAAAGATGAAACATTGATGGGCTACTTAACCCAAGGAGGGCAGCATTAAGAGCCAAAAAAACATTATCTTAAGCACGGCAAGGAGAAAGACATGAGCAATAGTCTGAAACTGGCATATTCATTCCAAAAATCCCCCAGTGAACATGCTTTAGATATGTATGCTAGCAATTTTGGATGAATTTTTTTTCATGCTTGCAAACAGAAAAGCATACATGGAATGAACTTCTTATACTTTTGCACACTAGTATTAAACTTGCAAATGTTTTCCAATAAAAATTCCAAAAAGATTCAGTCTTTCTAGAACTTTTACTGGATAACAATTTCCAGGCTCAGTCAACATTTTGTACTGGGCAATCAGTGACATTTGCTAACTGAATTCCGGCAAACAATATCAATGTGTGCACTATGTAGGTCAGTTTCTTCCCCAGCAAATGAAAAACACTTTCAGATTGTAAACCACATGATCTAGCTAGGTATCTGCTGCTGACAGACGGGACGTACTTAAAATGAAGCCTCTAACGGCACTCTTATCAGCTTGCCATGATAAGAGGGGAGAGGAAAGTAAGAGCAAATTACCTAAAGATAAATATCTAGCAACACCCGCTGGTAATTATCACCAGAGTATTAGAAAGAAAGTGATGAACCAAAACAACAGACGTTACAGAATATGTACCAGAATATGTACAGTATTTTCTCTGGCTGAAAAGAATGGCTCTGTCAGGACCAGGGGTGGCCACCCTTCCAGAACGGGAAGATGAGCTTTCTAACTCAAAAGAATCTGGAATCCAGTAAGCATGTTCTGTTGACTATGAAAAGGCAGAGAGATGATCAGGCTTCTAGTATAGGGTTGCCAAGTCGTTGCAGTCGCCGCAGCGGGGGACTCCGTCCCGGGTGGCGACTAGAGCGTGCGCGCACGTCACGTCACCCAGAAGTGACGTTAGGACGCTGGGCACGCTGGGAGCGAGGCCATGACCCTCGGAGGGAAAACCATAGAGTTTTCCCTCCGATGGTCGTGGCCCCGCCCCCAGCGTGCTCGGCATCCTAACGTCACTTTCTGGTGATGCGCATGTCAGGGCGGGGTTCCCCCGGGGCCCGAATCCGCCAGTGGCGGATAATCTTATTCTAGGTCCCAGTCTCAAACCACAACAGTTGCATTAGGAAATCACTGGCAGCCTCCAGTTCTGTAGGGTGATTTATTTAAAAACAGTTCTTTATCTTTAAACTACAGAGAGGATCATCTCACCCAAATCAATAAAATTCCCACTCAGTGAACAACTACAGACACGAAGAAAGTGGACTTCCCCACTGCAAACCATGGAAAGGCAACACATCATGGGCACTTACTGAGTGCATTCTTCCATAGCTTTCAACATACTGGGGAATGCTCCCTTTAAGCTGTGGAGTCTTGTGAGCAAAAATTCTACTTTGTGAGCTACTGACATTAAAGTTGTGAGCTAGTGATTTGTCTACTGCATAAATTAGATTGCTCTGTAGCCATCTTTCCTGAGCTAAGACAAAAATGTGTGAGCTGGAGGCTAAAAAACTATGAGTTAGCTCACACTAACTCAGTTTAGAGGAACCCTGGGAGACACATACAGTTCTGGATGACTGTAGGGAACTCCGTTTGCAGAATTAGCGTCCCTCTCTTACCGCAGAACACACTACAGCCTTCACTGAAATTTCCCATTTCAAATATCTGTCCTACATTTTTAGGACTAAATATCTGGACAGAGAATATTTAACATACTGCAGTAATTCAAAACGGTGTACACAAATGCAAGGTGCAGCAGCACTGTTAAGTAAATGAAAATCCAAACCCCCCCAAACATACTGTACCTGCAAACCCAATATATAGACCAGTGTCTTGTTTGTGATGGAAAACTGGCCTAGAATTTGTGTCACTTGCACTCTTGGAATGGAGCAATAAAATGGTATAAAAAGAGCAAATATAGGGCCCAAGCTGTTGAGAAAGAAAACACAATAAAAAGTGGTGTCAATAGAATTATTATGAAAGATCTCTCTCTCTCTTTCTCTACACAGAAATGAATTCTGAACAATTCAACATTTCTTATCATTGTTAAAAACATTAAACACAGTGCCAAGGTATTTACTCCAGAATTTTAGGACTCACAAGAGGCTTCTTTTTTCAAATTAACATTAGAAATATGCTTGAAACAGGCACATCATGTTGAAAACCTAGAGGGCCCTTGACTGCTTCCTACTTGCCATACCCATGAAGTTTGTATTTGCCAGGCAAAGAACGACAGAGACAAAGTCTGGAGAACCACCCTCAGCCCTCACTTGGTACCCACCCATCCAGTGTAAGATAGATGGCTGTAGGATGGAGACAAGAGGTTTCCCTTCGCCATTCCACAGATACTTAGACACAGCCTAGGTGGTATATGTGGTAAACATTTCTGATCCCAGAAAACAGGCGCAGCACACAAAGCCTCAGCGTTTCTCCAAGTGGCTCACCATTTTGGTTTTTCAATAACTGACTGCAACAAGTGTTTCAGTAGTGCCATCAACCTCATAAGGCAAATGCTCAAAACATCTTCCTCACGGTTCCAAGTATTAAAGCCTTGCATAATCAAGTTACATCACTTATGCTATCCTGAATTCTCAAAGAGCACCCTTGTTACCTCCCTAATCATCTTCTTAAACTGAGTCAGTGTTGTCAACATTCACTGAGCTTTCAGGGTTTAGCAATGCCTATTTCTTGTTAAGTAATATTCAGGGCTCTTTTTGTAGAAAAAGCCCAGCAGGAACTCATTAGCATAATAGGCCACACCCAACAGCAGGAACTCATTAGCATATTGGGGCACACTCCTTACAGCACCGCTCATTAGCACCCCTATGTTACCAGAAGTGTGGTCATCCAGCCACACCCACCTTTTGCTTCTTATTCTGTTTACCTTGTTTGTGGTCAAAACCCAGGGCTTTTTTGTAGCAGGAATTCCTTTGCATGTTAGGCCACACACCCCTAATGTAGCCAGTCCTAATGAGTTTCTGCTGTTGGGTGTGGCCTATTATGCTAATGAGTTCCTGCTGGGCGTGGCCAACTTGGGAGCCAGCCGGAACTCCATTCCTGTGCGTTCCTGCCCAAAAATAGCCCTGAATATGTTTATTGGAGATATGGAGGACTGCAACAAAGCTGCTAGATGGAAAACAACTAGTCCTTATGTGGGATACTCTGTTATTTTGCCTAGTGAAGGGAATTAGGCTTGGTCTACAAATGAAACAAAAAAGGACCCTGCAAAGCGCTCTCCCAGATGAGGTCCATCTAGTGCAACATGCTGTTTTCATCAGTGGACAGAGAGGCTTCCAGGAAACCCACAAGGAGGAATGAAAGCCCTCCCCCATTGTTTACAGTCCAGTCACCAGTATTCACTGGTATTCACTGGAAACATAGAGGTTTCTAACAGATGTTGGCAGACCTCACCTCCTTTGACAGCTTGTCAAAGCAAACTGTGCATGTTAATTATAACTTAATTTCCCCCCTCTGCTGTGATTCTATTGCCACTCAATTTAATTAGGTGGAACTGTTATGGTGTGAAAAATTTTTCTCCACCACTTTTCCCTGAATTATGAATACATTCTATAAACCTCTATATCTAAAAAAACAACCATAACACGTTTGCCTTTCCTTCTGGAGAAAGGGCTGCGCTGCCAATCATCTTGGTCACAATTTTTTTTACCTTTTACCACCCTATAATATTACTTTTGATTGTCTATCTCTCCCAACATCAGCCACTTTACAAAGTTGTTGCGAGGACTAAATGAGGATGAAAGAACCATATCTGCTGTCCTGAACTGCTTGGATAAAAATGCACTAGATAGACAGCAAGGTGCCTAGACCTGTGCACAGTAGTCTCTTTTGCACATAGCCAAAATGTCCCTGCAGCTCCTTGAATCAAAATCTCTCCTTGTGTCATTACTATATGCACTGAGAGGCCACAGCTCTACCCATCTAACTAGCCCCAAAAATGTATTTACTGGTAGTGACTTGGTTGGTTCTCCTGGACCTCTCCGTGGTTTTTGATACCATCAGTCAAGGACTCCTTCTGGACTGCCTATCCGCACTGTGATTGGGAGGCACCATTAAGTGATGGTTCCGGTCCTATCTGGAGGGTAAATTTCAGAAGGAGTTGCTGGGAGATTGCTGTTCAGCCCCTTGGCCTTTGGGGTCCCATAAGGTTCCATCTTGTCCCCTATGCTCTTTAACATCTACATGAAACCACTGGGTGGGGTCCAATGTTCCCAATAAGCTGTGGAGTCTTGTGAGCAAAAATTCTACTTTGTGAGCTACTGGCATTAAAGTTGTGAGCCAGCGATTTGGGTGCTGCATAAATCAGTTTGCTCTGGAGCCCTCCTTCCTGAGCGAAGGCAAAAATGTGTGAGCCGAAGGCTAAAGAACTGTGAGCCAGCTCACACTAACTCAGCTTAGAGGGAACACTGATGGGGCCATCCAGAAATATGGGCTGGGTTGTCACCAATACGTGGATGACACTCAGTTCTGTCTTGCACTTCCAGCTAATCTCAGGGAGCCTGCAGAAACCTTGAACCAGTGCCCGGAGGCAGTTTTGGAGTGGATGCCAGGTAATACACTGAAGCTTAATAATGACAAGACAAAAGTGCTACTGGTGAGTGGAAGGTCTACCTGGGATTTAAGGAGTCACCCATTCTGGGTGGGGTTGCACTCCCCTTGAAAGAACCGGTCTGTAGTCTGGGAGTGCTCCTGGACCCAGGCCTACTGCTGGATAAGCAGGTGACAGCTGTAGCCAAGAGTATCTTTTACCAGCTTTGGCAGCTTAGCCAGCTGCAGCCTTTCCCCGCCAGAAAAGTTCTGGCCATTGTGGTAAAGTACCCTGGTTACACCCAGATTAGATTACTGCAAAGTGCTGTGTGTGGGGCTGCCCTTGAAAAGTGTTCAGAAACTTCACTTGGTAAAGAATGCTGCAGACAGGATGTTGACGGGAGTGGGCTGTAAGGGCCGTATCACTTCAGCCTTGGCCCACTGACACCGGCTTCCGATTTATTTCTGGGCACAATTCAAAGTGCTGATTTTGACCTTCAAAGCCCCATATGGTTTGGGACCAAAAAGACCTGAAGACTGCATAATCCCTTATGAACCTGCCCAACCATTACAATTCCTGCTTTACAGCCCCCCCCCCCTTTCTGAGATTAGGCAGGTAGCAACCTGGGAGAGGGCCTTCTCAATTGTGTCGCCAAAGCTCTGGAACTGCCTCCCAAGGGAGATTCGTCTGTTGCCTTCTGTTGCCATCTTCTGCCAGCGAGTGAAGACTTTCTGGTTTCGCTTGGCATTCCCTTAATGATCCCTCCTTCCTAACCAATGTTTTTTGTTTTATATGTCTTTTAACTGTTTTATATGTATTTTACCGTTTTAAAAGACTTTAAAAAGTTGTTTTAATGAGGTATGTTGCAGGGATTATATTACTGGTTTTATAAGGTGTTTTGTCATGTATATTTAAAATTGTTAGCCAACTTGGTGGGCTTTGTAAGAGCAGAAAGGTAGTGTGACGTGCTTGCTTATAGGGAGACGGTTTTACCTTTAAACACTCATGGAGTACATAAACTTGGTAGTTTTCTGCTGCCACCAGGAATTAAAATTCCAATTCTCTCTCTTTTGGTCATATGACCCAGGGTCTGGGCACTTCAGAGGACTATGTGGCCCTGAGGAAGTACTGTACTGATTTCTGGGATGTTTTTAAAACAAAAATTGATTTATTTAATAAATAACAAAATAGGTTTCTGGTTAATTTGAACTGTTACTGGAAAAAAAGAATGAACTGGTAAATATAACTGGCTAAACTTGGTGTTACAAACAGTCTCTCGGACTTCACTCTGACAGGCTTATACACTCAGTATATCCTCTCTCTCTTTGTCTTAGGCACACAAGATAAAACATTTGTCTAACCACACAGTTAGACACAACTTGTTTCTTTGCCATATAGACTCTCTCACAAAACTTTTAGAGTCATACAGACTCTCTTCAAGGCTCTTCCACACTTCTTCTCTCAAAACACACACACAGATTCCACTCAGAACATCTCCTCCCACACTCTCAGTCATCAGCCAATCAAATCACACTTAGCTCCCTCTATCACTCCTCTTACATTACTGCAGTCAAAAAACATTTAAAGATACACACACACACACACCAAAACATGGAATCATTACAGGTGGGATATACGTTTTGTAAAAAAATAACATAAGGCACAAGCACTGACTCTTCCTCCACAGTAACTACCAGTCCATCCAGACAGTATACAACATACACAAGCTTTGCACCAGGCAGGCAAATCGTGCTCAACACAATCTCTGTTCTAAAGTAGCAAAATCTCCATTGCCAGGACAGCCCATTCCCGCTGCTCCTCCCATCACCAGAGGCAAATCCTCTGCACTGGAGGATATCAGTTCACCACCTGAGAAATTGGTCTCTTCTAAAGGACCATTAGTGGATGCTCTCCAGCCCCCAAGACCCCCATACTGTGCAAGAAAAGCAGAATTGTCAGAATAAGAGTGGGATCACTCCATCACACTTCTGAAGGTCTCACAAAGATCTAGTCTTCTTAAGGTCATCACCGTAACCTCATATGGACAAACTTGTTCTCTAAGAGCAAGGCGATCATCTCACTGACCCACAATTTCTAACAAGCAGGGGTCTTTTCATAGAAAAAGAGCTGCAGGAGCTCATTAGCATATGGCATGCTAATGAGCGACTAGGCTATTAGCATATGCCACACCCCCTAACATCACCGGAAGTGATGTTGGAAGAGGAAGCACAGGGGGGGAGGCATCTTCAAAAGCCTCCCCTTCCCTTCCCCAGCTGGCCTGTTGAGGGGGGGGAGTGAAGACAGAAGGGGTTTAAAGTAGAGTTTAAACTAGAGTTGGGCCACAGTAGAGTTTAAACTAGAGTTAAAGTAGAGTTTAAACTAG